TTCACAAACTGTAAGTTTGTTTAAGAGTTTTCACCAGTGCTATGAATAAAATATTAAAAATAATCTTTGTAGCCCTGCCTTGTAGACAGGTCATACGTCAAATTTTGATCTGCAAAGTAACTAGTAACTGTAGCTGTCAAATAAGTGCAGCGCAGTGAAAAATGCAACATTTCCAGTGGTGGAAGAAGTATTCAGATCTTGAGTGAAATAAGTAACACCACATGTAAATGTATGTAAAGAAAACACAACACAACATTACAAGCAAAAGTCCTGCGTTCAAAGTTTACTTCAGTAAAATATTATCAACAATATGTACATCAAGTATCAAATGTAAATATACTCAACTTTTCAGAAAGTTATGTTATTATAAACTGTGTATTGTAGATATATAATTTCTGGTGCATTAACATATAAGTACCATTTTAATGTAGCTAGTTGAGGTGGGGCTAATTTGAACTACTTTATATACTGTCATGTAGATTAATCTATCAAAATGCATGATATGTGCTGATCATATATTTTGAATCTTTTTGCATCTGAACAATAAGTAGCATGTACAAATTTATTTAATACTTAAGTGAACTATCTCAGAATTGCTCTTATGTACTAAATGTACTCACTGTATCTACAGTAGTTAGCTTCCAGTATATTTTTTATTTGACCTGCAGTTTCTCCTCTAGCCACCAGGTGTCCCAGCTGAGTCGTCCACACAAGGCAGATCAATCACATTTGTTTATGAGCATGGTTTAAGCAGAAACGCAGTACTCTCACAGCCACACACACACACACACACAAACACACACACACATACAGTCGCACACACATACGCACAGACGACTGGACACCTGCTCAGCCTTCATCTCAAAGTGGCCACAGCATGCGGTGGAGCCCGCTGCCCCCTGCAGAATGAGATCATCTGAGGGGGGGGCGCGGAGCGAGGCAGCCCTGCAGGTCCCTGCCACTGCAGACACAGACCTGGCCTATGCTACATCCAGGGTCAAGGACGGGGCGCTTCTAGAACACTCTGCCCCTGTCACTTCATTATTGTGGTTACACACTCATGCAGAGAGCTACCCCTGCATAACCTCTGCAGTGGTTCTTGATTTCTCCGGTTTCAGTTTCTACAAGATTGACTGAGTGAGTAAACTGAGATTAAGCCCACAACACTACATGCAGTGGTGTCGAGGAAACTTCTGGAAAGAATAAAAATCCATAGCAAGTAGAGCTGACACCTGTGATGCAAAGGCGCAGCTAACAGTGAACTGCAGCCACTGAAAAACAGCCACCGAGGATGAAATCACCTTGGCGAGGGGGAGCTTTGTAGTGCCACACTTCTGGAAGGTTCCAAGTAGCACTGTTTCATGTGCTGCTGAAGGCTGCAGTGTTTGAACTCCAGCTCCACACTGACTGCAGAAGACAACCTGGAGGCAAGCCAGTGAGGGAGAGAGGGAGACAGGGAGAGGGACAGAGTCAGAGAAGGAGAGAGAGAGAGAGAAAGGACGAGAGGGAAATGAAAAGTGAGGGAGTGAAATCAACAGCAGGGATTCTACTTGACAGCCAGTAAGTGGTTTTGTCCCTCAGATCCCCTCAAATAAAACAAGTGACATGTGCAGGTTTAGAGGCGCTTGATGATCTAGTGCCAGGCCCAACAAACAGAAACACGTTAGGGGGATAGAAAACTAAGTGCATGCTTAACACTATATCCATTTCATCACAACATGATTGAAATAGTCAGGGAATAGAGGGCCCCACCAAATCCTCTTATCTGATTTGAGGCCATTAATCATTTCTGCCTCATGATGTAATTTTAGAAAACAAGTCATTTCTCAGTAACAGGTAGGCCAGAATGCCAATGGGATTGGCTCATGTGCGGCTAGCTTGTTGTTGGACCTTACTCGGCTAATGCCCTTATTGCATGGCTATAAAACCATTCACGCTAACTGGAAATAGTTTGCTGTAGTCAATCAACTTTGTCCATTGACTGAGACAGACCTTTGGCCAGTGTATGCTGGTAAGTATTACTAGTAATCAGGAGCTCTCAGAGGCCAGTCGGACGTGACCGAAAATGCCTGCAGGTCATAAAAAATACATGTATACATGAACACACCCCATCCCTGTTGTATTTACCAACAGTGCATACATACAGAAGCATTACATACAGGAATATAGGCTAATTCAACATACACACACGTGCCTGGATGTTCAAACACACACTCTAGAACAAACAGATGCAGGCCTGAATGTGCACGGACATGCTCACTCACAGAATGTAAAGGTCTTTTCACTAATAGTAGCTACATCCATGAAACACAAACAACTGCCATTCTCTCCCATGAAAGATGATCCGCTCCCTTGGCATGGAACCAGCAGGTGCATTACAAAGGCTCATTCATTAGTAATGGTGTCCGCGTCTTTCAGTTACACAGGTAAACATCTTCTCATATTTGTCACCAGTGTTTTATCCCTCAAAGCCCTCGCAGGCCACAAATTAGCCTTCTCTTTAAGCTTTTTGCTCTAAAGCTGCTTTATTTTAGAACATGATTGCGCAATGCCAACACCCTGCACAGTACTACCACATACTGTATCTCACGTGCTGTGCGTCACTGCCAACCCGCCCCATTGCCAAAAACTGAACTGACCCACATGGTAAGTTTTTCTGTGAAGGGGAACAATGCTAACTGCTATCAGCGGGAGTGATGTTACAGGCCATTGGGAGGTGACATTAATGAAGATAGAGGGGTGACTTCAGCCTTGCCTCTGCTGAACTTAAATGAACTTTGACCCCTGTGATATGGAAACGAAAGCTGCCATTTTATAAAAATGTTCTGGGTTGGGCTGCGTCCGATAAGACTTATTATGATGTGAGGCAGTTACATATTCACAGAGCTGATAACCAGGGGAAATATAATTAGGAACAGCAGTGGTTTGAGCCCAGTGTGTATATGCATGCATCTGAGTAAAAAAAAATACCATAGAATTAACATAACAGCTAACATCCATAATGCAATAATGACACTGTAACATACACTGTATTGTTCTCCACTTGAGAGTTGAGTCTTCCTTGGCTTACATCATGAAGATTGGTTTCAGGTTTTATAGACCATTAAGACATGTCTCCTAGGTTCCAATATTCCCTATCCATATTAACCTACAACCTACAATGACCTTTGACCTGGAGCAGGTCCTCTGAGACCTGAGGCTCATTGAAGGGCATGTCATCAACCAGCCAAACAGCTGATTGGGCATATTGGATGAAGTGCTTCTATAGAAATTGGGCAGGAGGACAAAGTAGAAAGCTTTTCTGATTGTGAAATATATATGACCCAACAGTAAACCATTGTCTCTAAACAACAGTTTTATTGAAACAATTCACTATAGGTGTTGCATAATAATGTCTACAATGTACAAATACTAGAAGAAAGGCACTTAAGTGTCCATGGCAGCTACATATTAATATCTAAGGTCTCATTTTACAGAGTTTGCCAAGTATTTTCAAAGAGGCAGAAGGTGAATTCATACACCTCCACATACAGTTGTTCACACATGCTCCAGCTTATCTGATTCTTGTGACAGGTTTAGGCCTTTGTGCCGTCATCTTTGGAATTGCATAATCTGCACAGTGACAAAAACCTGCAGAAAAACAGATTTAAATGAAAGGAATCCAATGTGCTCCAGATTAGGCAGGTTGAGAAAAAGCCTAGTTGATTCTGAAGCTGCTCAGCAGAACACATGACACAGGCATCATCACCTCTGTAAACAGTGCAGATGGAGGTGAGAACCACTTTGGATCCTTGTTTCTTACATCTACTTGTGAGATATTGAGCTTCTCACAATCCCTGCTCTCTACTTATAGTGTGACATCTGTGTCTAATAATAAGAGAAGCAGCAGAATTGGGAGGAAGGGGGGCTGTTTTGGGACATGGAGATTCTAGTACATTCTGAGTGGTTCTTCAAATGCTTCTCCTCGCACATCTCTGCCCACCCTCCTCCACAGCATCTCCCATGGGATCAGGCCAGAGACAGGTGGTCACTGGGAGACAGGAGAGCAGTCAGGCATAAGCAATCAGGCTATCAGATACTCCCCTCCACACCAGCAGCACAATTAGACCTGAGAATCCACAGTCATCTGACAGCAACGCCTGCCACAGACCCAGTCACATATGACACATCTAAATGTGCCATACACAGACAATACACATGCTCACACACATGCACAAACTATCACCTTTTACAAAGTATTACACCCAAATACTTCAGCACTTGCACAGCATTTCATTATGCATAAAATTTTAATTGATGAAGACTTGCACAGCAGACAGGAGGAACTTTACTCAAGAGCCACACAGTCTGTGTGTCTGTCTCTGTAACCTTGTAAAACCAATTTTAAAAATACAAAACACAAGTAATGTAATTAGAAATGAGAAAACTGCTGGAATAGGAAAAACACAAACTAATGTAAGGACAAATTGGGTCAGTAACACTCCACTAACAAGTCACAAAGCATGCTCCTCGTAGCTAATTACTTATCAAAACTATCTTATTGGGTCTCTAAAGATGATGCCCATATCTATACACACTATGCAACAAGCCTGTCTGCTATGCCTGTGGCACTGACTTGGATGTCTATGGACAAGATGCAGCGGCAGCGCAAGCCATGGGAGTGACGCATTGCAGGTACAAACACACCAATCAGAGAGCGCGATTTCTTTCGGCTACGTCTTGTGCCCCATCACACAGTAGCAGAAAGTATTCATGCGCTGTTATGTAGACCACCAATGATACGCAATAATATTTCTAATATCGAGGTCGAAACACGCACGACAGTCCTACATGGGTATTTCAGTTGTTTCTTAATTTTTCGGTTTCGCTAATAATATCTTAAAACGTGTAATCGATTAATTTAGAAACTGAGGAAAAGGGAAGTTGGCGGAGGGATATTGAAAAGAGGAGGAGTTTAGGATAGCCGTTAAAGGCAAGTCCAGTTGCCTCTTTCTCAGTGTGTTCATAGAGATTGTGAGTCCGCAGAGACTTTGTGTTGGCTTTGGTTGTTAAGGATTTTGTCGTGAACCGGCCGCTGCATCTACATCGAAATGGTAAGAAAAACAGGATTATACCTTCTCTCCAGTCTAGAATTGGTGGACAGTCTCTTAGCAGTTGTCGTTTTTTAAATTATTCTAAATTAATGCCAGTAAAACATAACGTAACCAGTGGGTAAGCTTAAGCCAACATAAACGGTGCGCTGTAACTACCGCAGTGCCGGCCGAATAAATGACAGCTTGCTAGTTGCTAGGTTGTCAAACAAAGCTAACGTTAGCTAGAACTGGGTTGTTCTGAATGAATGCAGCAACACCCGTGTAATGTTAGCGTAGTTACACTTGAAACAGTGCATCTGAGTTAACGTTTCCCGATAATGTTGCTTTTGTGCCTTGATAATGTCTAGTTCGCTCAGTTGTGACGATGGCGGAAGGTTTGTCCGATTTGTTAAATACCTTCCTTGTCCTAGTTAGTGATAGGCGATGATCGAGAAGTAATGTAACTGTTTGCCAACCGCTGCTTTGGTTGTGACGACTGTTGTATTCGCCATGCATTCTGCTAAAAGTGTTCAACGTTGGTGTTAAGGGTGCAAAACGGTAGCTAGCTTAACTTTAGCTCTTCGTAGCTAACATTTACCGCCAAATTGTAAGTCATTCATTGTCTAAGGCAAAGTTTGCGTCATCGAAGATTCAAATGTAGATTAGTCTAACGTTGGAAGGGAAGGTGGAGTCTTACATTTTGTCGATATTTCTAGCAAGTTCAGTAACAAGCTTCCTAGCTACCGGCACGAAAATGCCTATATTTTGTGTAGTTGTAACGTTACAGCTGCTGAAATGGCTATCATGTAATGTTCACCTTCTGTACAAAGATGTTTTGCATCTTTTAGGCCAGCTATTACGAATTTGGATGACCATTAAAGTTGCTTAAAAATGGAAAAGCTAATTAGGGATATTTTGCTACATGGCATGCTATTAATTACTTCATCTTCCTTTTTACAGGCTGATCAGCTTACAGAAGAGCAGATTGCTGGTAAGACATCGCTGCACTGATGTTCTACTTTCCTCATATCCTGCACAGTGGCCTGCATTATGGATCTTTGCATCCCTTGCAGTGGATTTATACTTTTGCCTTTTAAGGCATTCCACAGGGCACCCTACTGGTCATAAAACAGGAATGAATGAAAAGGCTGTTGCTTGCTGGCTCTGGAACGCAGAAGGACTCCCTCATGGAAAACTTTGCATTTTGATGGTTGCCATGTAATAAATGATGTAATCTACAAGGGCTGTGTATTCTGGTGAGGTGTTGGCAGTTGCTTTTTACATGCTGTGTCCTTTGCCCTGGGTGTGTTCTCATCAGATGGAATGCTTCAAGAACAATTGCAGTAGTAACCTGGGCTTTGTAACATGGTATCTTAAGATGTTGTAATGTTAATCATGCAGCAGGAGTGTCTCTATGCTGCCAGTATGCTCTTGTTCAGACTTGCTGAAATGTATGCAGTTCATGTCTAAAATGGGGCACAATTGTAGTGGTTTCCCCGACAATAATTTCCTGCCTTTAGTTGACTTGATTCAGCTTAGGTCTTGGGTTTCACAATATGCTGATCATACTCTTACTGTATTTCATGGTATCACCTTTTAGTGAGTAAAGCCTTACCTGATCTTCTGCTGATGTGCCAGTTTTTAGATTGTTTGTACAAACGCCATGACATGAACAAACACAAAATGTGTACTGTTGACTTGGGAAATTTAATAGCAATTTAAAGTGCAATAAGCAACTGCAGCAATGTGGGGGTTTTAATGGCCCATATAGGATGAATCAGACCACCCTGATGTTTTCTGTGGTTGGTGCAGACAGCAGGCCTTTGCTTGTAACAAAGAGGGTGTTGCCCTGTATGTTTGACCCTGCAAATGGCAGGGTAGGTTGTAGTTTTAATGACGCTGACAAGCTGTTGCATGCCACTACACACTGCCCATTGGCCTCATCACATTTGATGTGTGTCATCATTCCTCAACCCTCACGGCTTCACCAAACTACACAGGCTGTCATTCATTTATGATGTAGCCTGACTCTGCCCTGCTGCTTGGTCTCGTGGTCGCTGTCCTTGTTTAGCCAGAAACGACTGCAGTTGGAACTCAAAACAGAAGGGCTCGTCATTATGCTGTAGCTAGTTTATAACTGAAACATGAGTGATGTAATGCCCATTTTGAGACTTGAGCTAATTCAGGGTTTGGGTCAGTGTTGATTGGCAGACTTAAGTTGAGATGACAAGCTGGTTCATGCTGGGTGGGCTGGCAACATTTAGGTGTATATTTAATTAATTTTTTTGAGATGGGTTGAGCCTTCTGCAGTGTTTTACAACCACCATCATACTGTCTTGCCAGTTTTCTTGTGCATATTTAGCCATTTGTTTGACATCACTACCTTACTCAGGAAGCCCATCCTCTTCTCTTTTTCAACCAGAATTCAAGGAGGCATTTTCGCTTTTTGACAAAGACGGAGATGGCACCATCACCACCAAAGAGCTGGGCACAGTCATGCGCTCTCTGGGCCAGAACCCCACAGAGGCAGAGCTGCAGGATATGATCAATGAAGTCGATGCTGACGGTGAGAACTGAATCTGGCTTCAAACTACACATGTACTGTCAATGTGCTGGATGGACATCCCCCATTAATATCTGTTTTTTGTCTTCAGGAAATGGAACGATAGACTTCCCAGAGTTCCTGACCATGATGGCCAGGAAAATGAAGGACACAGACAGTGAGGAGGAGATCAGAGAAGCATTCCGTGTCTTTGACAAGGTAAATGCTGTCTGTACTCCCACACACACTTGTAGTTACAGCAGTTTTTTTTTGTTTGTTTGTTTTTTTTTTATTTGCTTACTGACTGATCTGATTTTCAGGATGGCAATGGATACATCAGTGCCGCTGAGCTGCGCCATGTGATGACAAACCTTGGAGAGAAGCTGACTGATGAAGAAGTGGACGAGATGATCAGGGAAGCAGATATTGATGGAGATGGACAGGTCAACTATGAAGGTTGGTAGATGTAGTATTTTATATTTTCAATCTGCTTGGGTCACTCATTGGATATTGATTTGCAACTTTTTCTCCCCCCCTTTCCTGCAGAGTTCGTACAAATGATGACGGCGAAGTGAAGGCCTTGTACAGATTTCGTATATAAATAATTTGCCTTTTTTTTCTTTGTGTAATTTATCTGTAAAATCTTAATAGCCCCCCTTTGTCCCTGCCCCTTCTGCTGTCCAAAGGAACTGCATGTAAACTGCATAGGCTCTTGTCCCCATGTCCCTTTCTTTTGCTGTCATGGTGTTTTGGAGTGACGGAACGGTCATACAACCAGATGCCCGTGGAGGCCCCTGGGAGCCGGAGAACTTCGAATCTTCCTGTCTTGTGTGCTCGGGGCCCCTCCACGCATGGCGACATTGGAAACTTGTCAGCTGGTTGTCACTTGGCAACACTGTTGGCATGGAAACAATGTAGAGGAGTTTAAACTCTGCATGGACTACGGACAAAGTATATATGGAAATCTCTCAGCATTGCACTACTGCAAAAAAAATGACACGGGTGTATCTCCTAGGTACTCGTACAAACTCTTTTTGTATCTGCTGTTCTATATACCAGAAAACAACTAATCTTATGCTTTTTAATGTTTTACTCACAACTTTTCTTTTCTTTTTTTTTTCTTTTTTTTTTCTTCTTTTTTCTTTCTTTTTTTCTTTTCTTTTTTTTTTTTTCTTTTTTTTTAAATGACCTCTGGTCATGCCTCAAATAATTCATTCCAAGTTGTATATTTTTGTTTTCCAATAAAATTTACAATCTACCCGGATATGAAAATTGTCTTGTTTTCTCAGTTAATAGATCCTTGAGTTTGTATACCCTGTAATAATTCCCATTTTTGTATTGAGGACAGGATGCTCCGTTTTTGATAGAATTTTTTTTTTCTCCCTTGTTGCTTAGAATATACATGAAATGTTTACCATCCAAATTTAAAGTGTCCCCTGTTATTTTCCCAAAAGCACTGAGGAGCATCAGCCAATGCCTCTTAATGTTCAGATAAGCTCAGATAAAATCTGTATTGTCATTACAATAAAAGCACTGAGTGGGATCAAAGGCTTCTATTGTGAAGTGCACACAATGGTACTCAACATTAGATTAGCCTTGTACTGTCCAGCTCCCCTACTGACTATATAGGCCATGTGTTGTCTGCTACTGTTGGCACAGCACCATGTAGAAGCTGATTGCCTCATGTCTTACTTGGCATTTGCCCCCAGTCACAAGGAGCAGGTGATTGAGTGTACATCAGAAACCATGGTGTAAATAGAGGTGTACCTGTTTTGGTTTTTTTTTTTTTTTTTTTTTTTTTTTTTTTTTTTTTTTTTTTTTTTTTTTTTTTTTTTTTTTTTTTGTTAATTTTGAATTATTGAGTTTGTTACAGTAGCTTGCAGAGATACGAAGTTTGTTATTTTGATGAATGACAAAATAAAGCTCTATTGTGGACCTCTGCTCTGCCTCCTGTGTGAATTTTATGCTAGCTGTTTGTAAATTGTGCCTTTGATCCATCACTGTAGTTGGATTATTACTCAAGAAATAAAAAAATCCTATAGTTTTTTTCCTTTTTTTTTTTTTTTACATCTAAAGTTTTCATATAATTCACTCTTGGGATAGCAGTTGTTTGTGGTTTGGTCAGCCATGTATATAACAACATTTAGAGAATTACAAATGGCAGTAACAGCTTTGCATCAAGGACTAAAGACTAAAGAGGCGATTTATTTACAGTACACCTGGTTTGATTTTCCTTTCCTTTTTGTTTTATGTAGCTAAAAATGAGCCGATTAACTCTTGCAGAGTCTGCATAAGAACAGCCCTAGTTTTAAGATGGAACGAAAAGGAACACCACAACCCACAGCAATTCAGGTGTGAATTGACACGAGTGGCTCTCATCTTGTCAAAACCAATTATCACAAGACTTAAAAAGCTCACCGTTTAAGTGTTGTTGCAGTCCACTTATAAAAAGCTGTTAATTACACAGCATGTAATGCTAGTCCCAGCCCTCCCCTGCATTTATGCATTGTCCACTTAGGAGAAGACTGAATGTACATTAGACACTGTGATGAAAAGGGACAATATCAATCACTTAACAGCTCCTTTGCTGCCTGCATGTTTTCTATGTGTGTGTATTTCTCCTCATGTGCTCTAAGGTCTCACAAGACTTCCTTGACAAGTAGTGTGAACATGAATTCTTAGTTCCCTTGAACCATGCGTTTCATGTAGCCTAGCAACGAGGCTGAATTTGGCGCTTTTGCTCCCAGAGTGAGATTTTCACTTCATCTGATGGTCTTTAGTTCTGCTGTACTGAGAGAGAGGGAGGATGTGTGTGCTTCTACCTGATATCACACTTTGGCCTAGTATGCCACTGGAGGCAAGATAAACTTCATCCACAGAGAAGATGTTTGAAAGGATTTCTCAGGAAGTATTATGTAGTAGTGTTATTTAACTTTTATTTCATGAACCCTCTCTTGCAAAATGTGTATGAATACAGTCGTATCTACACTCTAGGTGACAACAGTATTCAGAAGTTGATTGATCAGTATAGTTCCCTTATTTTATTTTATTTTACCATTCCTCATTTTATTGGACCACAGGTGGTCCACAGACCTTTGTCTTTGTACTGGAAACCAGTACTTATAAACAACCTTTCCACTTCCAGACACTGGGGGGAACGACACATGTTTTCCTGTTTTGTCTTGTCCTGGATTGCTGTTTGCAACCTTCATGCCAACTTTTGATCTATATATTCTAATCACTATCACAGTCTCCCTCAAAATATCACATGGTGGTAGGTAATGAGGACTAAGTAACTGCAGCATGCACAGTATATACCTTGGTGCTGGCTTGCCATTGTCTCTTACTCTCAGTCAAACTGGTAGGTGAGTCCAAATTTAGCCCTCCACCAGGCCAGCTTGTTGAAAAATTGATCAATAGTGGAGTCGCTGCTATAGTAACAGTCACAGTTTTAATGGTGGTCAGGTGTCACTGGATCCCCAGTCAAGCAGATAGTGAATGACAATGGGTACAGTGCAGGATACAGCCACATGGAAAAACAAAGCCGTCTCCAAAGTCGCTGACATGTCCCGGTCTGGTAATAGAACAGAAAAGGTAAGGATCTACTGTGTCTTTAAGGCCCTCATAAGTCTGTGTGGTTGAACGGTAAAGCACAGAATGACACATGTGGGAGATGCATCAAGACGTTGTTGTCATAGCAATGTCATCATAACCGAAACTCTCTCTGTTTTGTGGCTTGTATCCTGTTCTTATCTGCAGGGTGAAGACAAAGTGGACCTGTGTGGTCGGGGGAGCTGGTGGCTGGGAACGCTGAAAGTAGGTGTCACGCTGCAGTTTGGTTTCATGGCCTGTCATCAGAGCAGAGGTTACTACATTAGGTTCTGAGCAGGCCCAAAGACTTGTCACTGGTTTGTCAATTTGAATTGGCTGAGTAACTCACGTGTAACTATAGTATCGCTGCATGGCCTTCAGGCACCTTCCGATACCTTTGAGTTAAACGTAATATAAATAGAGCAGAGCCTCATAAACACATCATTGTTCTTGTATTGTGTATAGTTTTCAATTACTGGCTTTTATTGCACAGCACTCTCCCATCTCCTCTTTCCAAAGTCTGCTGTCTGCCAGAAATAAATCCAAACACTTAGACTACAGTGAGTCCTCTCTCTAAGTGCCTCACAGTGCATTCATCGTAATAACACATAGACCTAATTAATTATCAGTTTATCTTAATGTGATCCCAGCTCTCAGGCTCCATTGTTAATCAGCTGCCCTCTTCTTTCTAGTAATGTATTCCATACAGGAAACAGCAGGCCAGCAACTTGATGTGTCTAGCATCTATTAACAGTGTAGTACATTTATTATGTAATACATATAAGCTTAAAGGTTGAAGGTTAAGTATAAAAATTCAGGCTAAGCCAGTGTTCCACTTGTCTGATCTGCATCAGGCTCACTCAGACAGTGATCCAGCGATTCCTACAACATGCTAACAGTTCAATAAACCGCCTCTGATCTTCTTTCAGGACACACCCATCCCTGGCCTCTATCACATTCGAGACTTCATTGAGGAAGCTGATCTGAACCCTGTGAGGAAGACTTACGGGTTTAAAGGTGTGGGCAGAAAAGCCCAGACTCTGGGCGTACGTAACGGGGACCTGCTGTTACCAGGGGCGTATGACTACACTGACTCGACCCAGGAGGTCCTGATGCACCAGGCGTCTTACTCTTTCAAAAACTGTCCACGGCCTGACATTGTCACCCTCGGCATCAGAGACAAGGTGGGACAACATTTTGGGAAATACACTAATCCACCTTCCTTTTTATGGAGCAATGTTTTTATGAGTAGGTCTTAGTTTGTTTTTATATCCCAGGCACACGCACGATGTGATACACATCCATGCTGATGGTTTGGAGCAGGAACTGTTGCTACATCACAGGCCTCTACACCACCTTGATTCTAGTATTTCTTAGCCTAAGGGTATGGTGGCCCTGAGAGCTCAACACGCTGAAACTTAAAAAAACACATGCAAATAGACAAAACACAAGCAAATTCAGCACAGAGGACAAAGGACGTGTCTCCAGGGGACACAGAAAAGTGGTGAACCTGGCTTGGGCGCACTTGTTGTTCAATGCTCTGTGACTTTTGATATTAAAAGCATTGAACAACAAGTGCATCCCAGCCAGGTTAGTCATATTATTTGCTTGTGTTGTGAATATTTGCAGCACGTGTGCACAAATTGATGAAGATGTTTTCTAAACTTTTTTGTGTTTTTTTCTGAATGTGTTTTCTTAAGTTGCAGTGCTTTGAGCTCTCATGGTCACTGTATTATATTATTTTATATTATGTATTTCTTTATTAATTACTCTGTTTTAATAGTGTTTTTGGCTGCGGCATCTAAATATCATCACAGTATTTTGCTTAAAATGAGGTGCTCTTCAAAATGTACCTGCAGCAGACTAACTGAAAGACTGTATTGAGATGTATTGGAAACAGAAAAATACAAACCCATGGTGACACTGTCATACATAAACACCTCTTTATCTTTATTCCCTGTGCCAGCATATAAACACTTCACCGTGCGACTACAATGTGACACCTAAACCAGTGGAGAAGATTCCCTGCAAGTAAGCTCTCGACAGACAGCCTCTCTTTAACTCTCAGATCACAGCAGAGCAGACAACCCATGAATCATGCCTTGATCGCTGAGTCCTTCCTCCTCATTCAACTTCTCCTTCCCCCTCTCATCTTCCTCGCATCTCAAAGATGAAGGAGCAACCACCAACCTGCTCTCTCATGTTCTCTACCTCTGATCATGTGCAGCCTTATTCTTTTCTTCCCTCACTGTTCTCCTCTCCTCTTCTTCTTTTCTTTTTCTTTCTTTTTTTTTCTTTTTTTTTTTAACAGCCATCCCCCCACCCCTTCTCTCTTCTCTCCTCTCCTTGCAGGCATGTGATCTTTCGGTCGACTGTGCAACGGATCAGCTTTCCGCCTGTAAGTATCTGGTCACTAAGACTTGTTATTAGGACCATTCAGTCTTTCCACCGCCCGCAAAAAGGCTTCATTACAATACACTTTCAATAGGTTTTGATTACAAGCTCTGAGCTAATGTGTATCTGGTATGTGCTGTACATGAGCTAGTTATGACAAGCACAAGGGTCAAAGAAAACTGATTCCACAGGCTGATTGTACCATTTGACCCATTCGAGGGCCTGTTATGGCGCTGTACTGGCGCACCACTCAGCTTTGGTTCATATTGCAGAGTGTTGCTGGCTAACCCGCATGTCCATGCTGGTAGCTGATGGATATTTGAGCCATGCTGGCAGGTGCTGAGTGTTGACAGAGAAGGAAAGGCGCTAAGAAATCCCGAGGGTGTTATTACTGCAGAGATGGGAGCAGTTTTCTGCTGTTAGTGGTGTCATAGAATCTCTGAGACAAGTTTATTGTCAAAGGTTAAGCAGCGACACAAATCCTGCAGCGAAGTTAACTGAAAGCACAGATCATACAGACAGCTGACCTGACAGTGGATCAAAGTTGAGGTGTCTTAATGGTTTTAACTGGGAACTCTAGGTCTAGGAGACAAGAATTTCAGAATTCTCTGTGTGTGGACTCGCAACCCAGAATAAAATGAAATTGATTTCCACACATTTGAAAAGAAACCTCCAGTGATGTTTGGGAACACAACAAAAACGACATATATATTCACTTTTTTATGATTTAACTTAATTTCTCCATCCTGGGGCCACTGTGTGTCCCAGATTTACATGTTGTGCTTTTTTGCAATATCAGCTGCACGTGCTGCTCGGAAGGAACAAATCCTCCCTTGAGATTCAAGCCTGTTTGAATTAAAATCATAATCCCATACATTTTCATATGAATAGACATAATATTCTCTATTGCGCTTGCACAAATGTGATTCAGGCTATAACTACTGCATGAGAACCTGCTGATCGAAACACCTGCTGTCTGGTAGTTTTTATTTGCCATGCTGTATCGACACTCTATGAATGGATCGGTTGGTCCAGACAGAAACACGTCCACAACGATTAGAGATTGCCATGATAATTCATACATTCATACATAAAGACATTCATGGTCCCCAAAGGATGAATTGTAACCATTTGTGACTATGGTGATGTCTTGATCTTTCCTCAAGAGGTTGACATTTTTATTTTTTAGTCACATATCTTGACAACTATTTGATGGATTCCCATGAAATGTGATACAGATAACACAGACAGCATAGTCTTTTGTTTAGTGGTTTTATTTATTTTGGATTGTCATAACATTTCATGCAGACATTCACAGCCCCCTCAGGAAGATGTGTATTAACTTATATACCACCATCAGCTCAAAATTTTAATTTGTCCAGTACCTTGTGTTCAGTGCAAATTTCCAAATGTTAGCATGCTAACACAGTAAAATAAAATGGAGAGCGTGGTAAACATATCTAGTAATCATTGGCATGTTAGCACTGTCATTGTGAACATGTTAGCATACTGACATTAGCATTAGCAAGCTCCACTGTGCTTAGGCACAGCCTCACAAAGCCGCTTGTGTGGCTGTAACGCCTTTTTGTTTGCTTTGGGGGAAAATAACCCACTGAATGGACTTAAGAATATCTCATTTTAATTTCACCTCATGTTGTTTTAGAGAAAGAGAGAGAGAGAGAAAAATCAAGGTTTCCAGTTTATTTAAGAAATACTGTATAGCAAGGTCTTGGATGCACCAATCAAAAACAGGTCAAAGTTTAAAAGTTTCACAGACACTCACAGCATGTGCCACATTTCTAACGTGCTGTGCCACTGTAGGAAAGTAGGCCAGGTGCTTTGGCTCAAACACACTTACACACATCCATAAAAGAGTTTCACTGCTGTCCACTGGCTCCTGTGAAATACACCTGCATTAGCGCCTCTGGGAGCATCAGCCAGGCGCATGGGGGCCAGTTCCAGAGGATCAAGTGAACTGGCAACTGGGTTCAAATGGCACGTAATGGTAGCTGCTGTTCCTCCAAGGAGTAGAGGAGAGGAAAAGACACCTTCCTGTCTTCCTCTGTCAGAATCAGAGAGCGGCTGAAAATGACAGGCTAGTCCTGTGTTCAGGGACAGGGAGACAGTTTTATGTCTGAGGAGGAGGGTGGGTGATGCTATTTCTGCATGGCACGCCGCTGGTGATGACCAGTATGTGTGTTAGTGGGTAAGAGAAAAGGAGAAGTGAAAGGCAAGGAGAAAGAGAGAGAGAGAGAGAGCGACTGACTTTTGACAGAGACTAGCTAACATATCTAATCAACAGATCTACTGGCAACGACCATAAAGTCATGAGTCAAATGATATGTCATAGGTCTTAAAAATATTGGTATGAGACCCTAAAATAGGTCTGGTGTATACTGATGCATCCGTCAGATGACTGGAGTATCAGCATGGTATAACAATAGAGTTTCATGAGCACTGGTTCAAGGGTGTGAGAATGAATCTCCCTTTTGGCACTAAAAAGGTTAGAGGTCATGATGTGCAGTTGGCAAATCTACTGCAAAGCTGCCATCAGGGCAAGTTCACACCAGCAGTCTAACAGAACTGTAGGGTTTACTCTGTAAGATAGTTTGGTTTGGATTCTGAAGAGCAACAGCATTTCAGTTCAGGTGGTGTAGAAATTAAAGTCCATGTTCTCTTCAGAGGAAACAGGACCCTGTCCTATCTAGCTCTTTCTGTGTGTGACCATGACAGTGAACAGCCAATAAATGACTGTCAAGAGTGTACAATTGTTTGCAATTAATTACAGAGCCTTGTTTTAACTCAGAAGGATTACTGAACCTCTGAATAAACTACTTGCTACAAGCTAATGCTAGCTGAAATAAGAAGTGGGGCAAAAATATGTTTGAAGTGTTGTGGACAAAAATAAAACAACAATAAATGTCTGACCAAATGTAAAAAACTATATGTGTGAATAAATGCTAATAATAAGACTTAGTCTGTGACATACTGAGGTTGAAGTGTTTCATACCTACAATCCAGCTGGATTGTTTCTGGATTTCAGTGAATATAATGTTTAAAAAAAAAAGGAAACTGAGAAAAAAAAACAACCTGGTGCTCTGCTAACAAAAAACACAACAAAGAATTTGTTTTTCTAGATCCTCAGATAACCAAAGATAACAACTGTATGTGTGGTTACATGAGGTCTGCATCATGAGGCTGGGTTATATCATGTCTACAGGGAATATAAAGTTGACTGTAGGACTAACCTGTAAAATCATGTCTTCATCCATTTACATACATAACCAAATAGCAGTATGACTGCTCTTGCAGTTTGCTGGCTTGGGTATTAGCAGATCTTGTGCCCAGCCTCTGTTCATGAGCTCCTAGGGATTTATAACTTTTGAACTCACGCAGTGTATGCACTCAGACCAAACATGAGATCATTTACAATGTGAGTGGAGGCAGCACATTAGGTTCTGTAATCCAGTCTTAGGCTGCTAAACCATATGAATCTATATTATTTATCATTATTAGTTTTTCTAAATACCATTACTTAGCATTGTGATTTAATTTCTCTTCCCCCTTCAACATCAGATTTGAACAATTTAAACAACTTTTTAGCCAAACAAAATGAAAGGTATGCAACCACCATAGCCGGCACAGGTAAACAAAGCGCATTCCTCATAAAATGCAGCCCCTGTCTCAACATGCCACACAGCGGGACATACCTTCACCTTCTCTATAATGGCAACTAATCGAGTTGGTAAAGGACAAGGACTGGAATGCAGTGGTTTGAACTAGCTGAGCCTCTGTCCAACAAACAGGCTGCTAACCTACTGCTAAGATCCATTTTCAATAAAGATAATATTGAGAATGAGAAGGAAAAACACCAATGTACTTCAGGTTTATGCTCAGGTGACAAAAATACAACAAAGAAAACAGATCCTCAGGTTCCTGATCTGAACAAAGGTAAGAAACCACATGTGTGATTAGTTCAGTGCAGTTTGGACTTTATTTGTTCCCAGGGCTCAGGCAGTTTTGCACAGGACATAATTATAAAACAATGGCATAAACAGATACAAGACAATAAAATATCAAATTTAAAAAACAAAGTACAAACTAATTTTGAATAAAATGCTCAATTACAATAAAGTGCAGTGTTCTTGGACATCATTTAAAATATCAATATGCTACCATACATGCAGATGATTAGGTGCTAATGATTACATGCTAGCCTTGGCCTGCAACATAGATGGGATTTCGAGTGATCAGGGAGATACGAGCAAAGGCATGGGGCAGATCAACATAAAGAGTTGTTTCTGTGCCACAAATCTGACTGGAAAATGTCCATTATCTCAAGAAGGAAACCTGCCTGTTAGGTAGGAGAGCAGAATTAGCTGTTAGCTCCAGTGATCTGGTTGGAGCCATGGATTTCTTGAAGTTCTGTGGATGGTTTTACACTGAAGCTGCAGGATTAAACACCAGTTTTAAGGGTTAGACAGCTCATGCTGTTCCTGTGTGTTTAAGACTGTGTAATGATTATTGCTGAGGCTCTGTGATTGACATGCGTTTAGAGTTTCAGTTTGGGAATCCGTGACAGCTGATAGAGGAACAGACTGACGGCTTTGGATGGAAAATGTGTCACGTTATGCTTATAATTTTCCAGAAACTTACAAACAGGCGTCATGAGTCTATTCGGTCTATTCTCATGATCCTGTATGGGTGATCAATATAAAATCCTGTATTGACACAGTTTGAAAGGTGTTTACACTGCAGTCATTTCTAATATGAGTTATTGCATTAATATAACACACATGGCATATATCCAGTGTTTGGTGTATTTTGAATATAATGAGAATGAGTGTATGAGTGCTCTTAACTTGTGCAGCTGCAAACAGCATAGCAGTTTTTATATGCAAACGTTTTGCTTTTAAGATTAACCCCTACTGTCAGTTGAGTGGAAATGTGGAGAAAACCATTGGCTCATTCGACATTACCAGCTGCTTTATTTCTAAATAATGAAAATACCTGCAGCTGTTGTGACATTATGGAAATGTCTTTTCTACCCAAATGCTGTGCGTGCATCCTCGATTGTTTGTTATTGCAAAATGAATGTACTGAACTTGAGGTATATGTTTAGCTAAAGTTATGACTACAATCCAGATGGTTTATACCCCCTGGCTTACTGAGCCTCTGTCCAGTGACCAAGCTTCTTGCTACTTGCTACTGCAAATTGACATTTTCAACAAAAATAATGTTGGAGAAAAAATCCAAATGGAGAAAAACCAAACTATTTGTGTTCAGCTGGATAAACAGGTTGCAAAAAGTAATACACAAAACAAAAATAATATGTCAACCCATATTAACTCTGCATAAATTAAAACCATTTGTACCATCACACGGTTAAACCAATATTACCAATTTTAATCAAAGATATCAATCCGAGTTCTTAGTTTAAATGTAATTATCTCTATAGCATCTAAAGTATATTGTACACCAGGTCAGTCCATTCATTATGGTCAGTATGTCCTTTTCTGGTTAAAGCCTTTTTGCGTGCCACTAAAAGAACTTCCGCTTTTCACAGTGAAGCTCTTCGAGAATACCAAGGTACATTATTAATATTAATTAACATGAATTTTTCATTTTGAATCAAGAAAACATATGGGACAAAACTCTCATTACATGGTAATGATTATATGCTAGCCATGCTCGACAGCATATTGAGGCTCAATCAATCAATCAATCAATCAATCAATCAATCAATCAATCAATCAATCAATCTCTAACTCAGTAATGCCTCCTTTCTCTGACCACCTCAGAAGGAGGGACCTGCTCCATGTCACTACAACCCACACACCAGAGCTGAGAAAGGCATCACTTCCTGCTTCAAATCCACTTTGCCACGGCTCCACTATGTGCACCCGGTGAGTCCAGTGCTTCACATGTACATCTCCTCTACAGCTGCACACAGGCCGTCTGTGAACATGTACTACACTACATGATTAGTAGTGTCATTACAGTAAGACTAGACTGAGATTACTTACACTTTTTACAGTTTTGTATGGCTGCATTATGACATTGTCAATTGCTCACTGATGAGCAAGTAAAAGTGTAATATACACATTAATGTAATTATCTTATTATGGTGATGGTTGATTTCCATAAGATTGATGGAAATGTGTTAAATTTTAACACGATTATTTATGATTTGGATCATTCTCTTAAGTGAAATGGGAAATCACACCATTAAAGCGGCTTCAGAAAGTATTCAGTCTGTTTTAGACTGAAGACTGAAGTCTAACAAGTAATCAGACCCTTTGCTGCAACTTATGCTTTGCTTGAATTGTACTTGAGATGTGCGATTGGAGTCCACCGATAGCAAACTGAATTGATCGGCAATAGAAAGGAACACACCAGTCTATATAAGGTGGGTGCATCTTATATGCACTGCGTGACGAGACAAAAACTAAGCCAGGAACTCTCTCTTGACTTCTGCATTAAAACATTTCTAAAGCTCTGGGTGTTCCCAGGAACACAGTGGAAATGGAGGAAGCACCAGCCAAACTGAACCCAACGGTCTCTCCAACAGAGCTTCAGAAATTCTCTGCAGAGATGCGAGAATCTGCTGGAAGGACGATCACCTCAGCAGCCCTCCATCAATCAGGCCTTTATGGTAGAGCGGCTAGATGGAAGCCACTTTGTGGAAAAGGCAGATCGTATGACAGCCTGAGTTTACCAAACAGCATTTAAAAGACTCGGAGAGCATGAGGAAAAAGTTATTCTTTGGTCTGATGAGACAAAAAATTGAACTGTACAGGCAGAACTTCAAACACTTTGTCTGGCAAACACCAGGCACTGATCATCACATGGCTAATACCATCCCTTTGTTGAAGCAGGGTGGTGGAGGCATCATGCTATAGGGATGCTTCTCAGTCTATGGAAGGATGAATGCAGCCAAATACAATGGTTCACCTTTCAGTACAAAAATGACCTGAAGCATCCAGCCGAGACAGTTCACAGACACTTCTAATCCAATCTGACGGAGCTTGAGAAGATCTGTCAGGAAGACTGGAATAAACTGCCCAAAATCAGGTGTGCAAAGCCAAACCAAAGGAGCCTCTACATATTGTAAATGAGAGATTACACTTTTTGATTTTTAATAAATATGTCAAAAATGTATAAAAAGATATGTTTTCAGTTTGTCATTGTGAATTATTGAGTGTAGACTGATGGGCAAAAAATGTCAATTTTATGCGTTTAAAATTCAATTTAAAAAGTGAAGGGTCTGATTACTTTCTGAAGCAACTATACATAGCAGGATGCACAAACAAACAAAACATCATGCTGAAGATAAGCAACGGCCTCAGCACTTCAGACCGCTCTGTAAATACTTGTCATTGTGTTGCCTTTGTATTCCACAGAAAACCCCGGGACCAGGGGCCTACGAACCGTGCTGGAAGTTGGGTGACCGTCTGAACGCAGAGGTCGTGGACCCCTCATTTAGCCTCTTTTTCCGCAACGTTCCCTAGTGATGACTTTATTTCCGACAATGCCCTGATCCCTTTATCATCTCGTCGTCCTGTCGACCTACTGGCAGATCTCATGTGACCCTGCCTTATTGATTAAAATAATAAGTAAAATCTTGACTGCACAAAAGAAAGAAAACCTCCCGTCCCTCATTACTTGGGCCAGTGTTTATCCGCATGTCAGTGAGGGATTTTGTGGGCTGCCAACGACATAATCAGCTACATTCGTTGTGCTCAAATCCCTTTTGTGACGCCAGCCAGGGAAGCAGAATGATCTTATCTGCAACAAAGGGTACTTCATTCCACTTAACTACATGTTCCCGGTATTGCTCTCTCCCTTCATTTCTCCTCTCGCCTGCTCTCGCTCCTCTCTCCTTCTCTGTTGGCAGTCAGGCTGCTTCGCCTTCCTACTATCTCTGCCCTGCGATGCACTCAGGAGGAGGAATGCTGCTCAGCCATGCGTCACATGCACATAGCTTAGTGTGGCATGCTGCACCCTCAGATAACACATTCAGTATTAGGGGCCAAAGCAGTGGCACACAATAAAACAGCTATTCTTATCGCTACCTACTCTGCATACTCACTCTTCCTCCCGACGAACCAAACAAACATGGGCAATAATGTCGGGACACGGAGAACAGGGGTGATAGGAATCACCTGAGCGTGGAGCATAATGGAGGTGTAGATTACAACACGGCGGGGAAAAGGTGCAAAAATAAAAACACACATAAAAACACACTGCAGATTTGTTGTTTGTATGATCCGGGACAATGCTTCTTTATCTGCTACTTATTCAGAGAAGGGTTTTGCTGAGCATGTACGCACTTTGTCAGCACTGATTCATATTCATGAAATGTTCGACACTCAAAGCCTAAGAGCGGCAGAATTTTGTGCCACGGCCAGTTGGACAGTTGTTGAGGGAGTGCAGAGTTATATTCATCCGTACACTGCCCACCCAGATTCAGCTATCGGATCCAAGGAAGAAAAGATGTACAACAGTAATTAAAGCCCACTGGATTGAGCTTTATTTTAGTGCATGAATAATCACCCATAGCAACTAATTACACAGCACAGTCCCGTTAACAAACAGTAATACAGCGGCTTCATTCATAGAGAATTAGTCATGACTTTGATGGAGGATCTGGACTAATTTTTGTGTGTTTATCAATCTACAAATTTGCTTACACGCTTGCCATATAACTTAGAAACATGATAAAATGTGTTTACAGCTTATGACCCTGCTCCCAAGTGGTAAAAAAAAACACCAATAACAACAATTCAACATTTAATGCTCCTTTACATCTGCTGCCCTATGGGAGGACATGGAGCACGGCTTGTACAGTGAAGAAGAGACAACTGAAGCCATGTTCGTGGTGATGTAACTGGAAAGCCTGGCGCCGTCTGTGGAAATACTAAACAATGGTTTTCCCCAAGAACAATATTTTATCATTCCTGGCAGACTGTAAACATCTGTGAGAAGATGAGGTTGCAACCTGCTGCTGGATAATAGGTTAAAAATATATTTTTGATCTTTCCACAAGGTTTGATTTGGGATTGCCATGTGACAGACTCCTGGAGTCCTGAGGTCACAGATGGGTTAGCTGCATCCTAGCTCTGGTGAAGAGTTGTTCATATCCAACATCTCAAACCACTTCCATTAGTGGGTTAACACTCAGGGTCAGCTGACTGACCCTGAGCTGATAGGGACTGTCCTTACGTCATGTTCAAGGGAACGTCAGCAGGGTGAACACAAACATAAAAGCAGAGGCTTATTTCAAGAACTATTTGTCAGTGATCGCAGAGGACCTAAGGGGATTTGGGAGGTTATGAGATATTGTCCATAAAGAGGCATTGTGTTGACCCCTGTATAGACATAATGAAATCAGTGAAGTGTTTTGTTTAGCACCACAGTCAGGCGAGGTATACAGGACGTTATCACGGCACATCTACTCAGCCGACTTTAATCTCCACCACTCTGTTTTCCTTCAGTAGCCGACACTTAAGAGCATGAAGAGGTTCAAGAGCCGGGCTCTTATTCCCCCTGTCATAATGGTGGAGACAAAGGAGCACACACTTACACCCAGAGAGGAAGACAATCTTATTAACACGGGGCTTTGCACGCAGCCTCTGGAGAGCTGGGCATGTGTATCCACTGAGATAGATGAGAAAGATGCAATGAGAGAGATGTGTATGTGTGTGTGTGTGTGTGTGTGTGCATGTTTGTGTGCGATGAGCAGCTATTCTGCCTGTGGTCAAGGCACCAAGCCCCCAGTAATCTCTGTCCCTCTCAACCCCCGGCGCCCTTCCTCCCTTCTCATCTCAGTGATCTCCATAGTCCAGCACTGATCTCTGACATATGCCTCATACTGACGACTTAACACCCTCCATCTCCCACAGCCTGCCTCGACCACAGGCATGGCCGGGCACCCGCTCTTTCGCTGTCAATCAAGTGGCCCCCTCGTAGACGCACGTTTCTTCAAAGAATACGCAAGCAGCCACACAATGCCATGAATGCAAATGCAAGCATGCACTTGTGATCCTTTTTTAAAGACGCTCTTTCAAAGTGATGCACAAGACTGCAAACACACATTTCATAAAGGCTCTCACAACTTGATCATCACTTATTAGCATATTAGTATTTTCCATTAATTTTTTGAATTGTTAAAAACATTTAAAATAATCACATAACTATGTACATCTTTTATATATAAATAAGCTCTCTACTAAAAGATGAAAGGGGAATTTGCATCAACACTTCAGAGAAACTGATCATTACGTGTGGTAACACATGCACCACAGTAAAGGCTATATAAGCATGCACTGCACAAATCTTTCCACTCACAATCTTTGAATCTGTGCTACTGTTTCCTGTGAGAGGTGGTGAGAGGGTGATCTAAGATTTGAGTTGCGCTGGCACAGTGGAATTGTAGCATTCAAAGATCATAAGAGCATCTGGTGTCGGGGCAGGTCATACATGGAGCCCAAACATCAACTTCAGGTTCCGGGAACGGCTTAATGAGAACACTCAGGAAGCACATCAGCGTAGCACATCAGCGAGGGTCTGGGATAAATCTGTGTTTTTGGCAGCTTCCTGCAGGAGGTGACCCTGCTACTCAGTGGTACAGCTGGGCCAGAGTCAAGGACATCAAATTAACAGCTAACTCGGGACAACATGCTGAGAAAATGTGACACTGCTCCAGAATGATGACGAAGGCAGGCCGCTGGAATTTCCTAAGAATGTGAGGTTACTTAAAAATACCCATAATCCAATACTGGTGCGGGACAAATGCCATTATCAGTTGCTGAGTCCCAGCTAAAGGTCGCCAAACAAACAAACCCTCAAACAGAGCAGCCTTTGTTCGCCGCTCATTGACATTGTGCTGAACTAAAATGGCCTCCCTGTATCACAGAACCGGCCGGGCTTCGTCTCCCTTTTCTCCACAGCTGTACAACACGAGCACCTTGAGAAACTCCTGCCAGCGGCAAGATGGTCAGACAAAGAGGTGGCAGGTTCAGAGGTACTGCTCCCTCGTGTCTCCTTTAAGTCTAGGTCACATTCCCTCTCATCACCACATCCCACACTAAGGGTGATGACTAGCCAGCTGAGGAATTTAGCGGGCAGTGTGACATGCATGGAGGGTGACCAGGTATCCTTTTACCCCCCCTCCCCTCCCTCAGGCTGCTGACAGACACATTGGAGCAACATTACGCTTCTATTAAATGACATTTAAAAGTTTAATCAGCTCCAATAGGCGACTGTTAGCGAACAAAGGGGGGTCATTGTTTAAGTGGGTAATGGTGCTGGCACCGCCGCGGCGTGTGTGGACCTGGACCAAGAGAGCTGGAGGGTGATCAGGTGAGCTGAAGTGACTGATGGAAGAGAACACAGAGGCTGCCAAGCTGCTGTTTACTGCGGTATTACTGGACTCTGCGCTTGATCATTTCAGCCTCATAAATGAGCATCAGAGCGGGTCCAGTAATCTGTCTGATGCGTGTGTGTGTGTGTGTGTGTGTGTGTGTGTGTGTGTGTGTGGCAACAATGTGAGGATAATAACTCTTATTTCATATCGTTCAACAGGGTTATCTGGGCTGCGGCTTGTGGGTTGCAGAGCAAAAGAGTTTTTGTGTGTTTGAAAATGTGACCTTTTTGCCTTCACACTTGTACTTTCTGTTCACAGCTGTATTATATTTTATACAGGAGTATAAAAGCTTTAAAAGAATAGTTTGATGTTTTGTATTTCTGAGAATATACTGGATTCACTCCTCACCTTTAGGCTATTTTCTTTACAGCCTTTTGAATACTTTCTCAGCACACTCTCAGCATGTAAACTCTGAAAACATTGTTGCTCTGAACTCTGCTGGAACACATCTGACTCTCGGGGATGAACTATGTATACATCTACTGTATCCGCCATTTTATTTATAAATGAGATTATGGAACCACATCTGATCCTCATAACCTCCATCACACCCCTCACCCATCCATGACTCTCCGGCCTTGTTTGGACATCACAATGATGGTTTATGGTTTCCTTCTTGGCGCCCTACACTAGCACCACCCAGCCCGTGCCCCCCATATGCCCCTGCAAGAGCTGGCATCGACACACACACACACACACACACACACACACACACACACACACACACACACACACACACACACACACACACACCACAGTGACCTGAATACCAAGCCCACACACACCTCACTCAAAGGGGTCACCACCTTTTATTGTTGTGTAATTGTTTGTTATTGGTCCCTATTCAGTCTAATATGGCTTTGGCATATTTCATGATGCTGTGTATACAGGTGGTGTGTGTGTATAGGAAACCATATTTTTTTTACAGTAATTTGTCCGTGGATCCACCCTCCTATCACACACACAGACAGTCTTATGATGCTCAGGTGTGGAAGTGAGAGTGACACACCTGGGTGCTCTGACATCACAATGACGCAGAAGCAAATACAATAAGTAAGATGTAATGTATTCTGCTTATTGACC